GGTAAATGACCATTACAACAATACCTGGCTCATTAGGGTAAGGCTTGGGGCACTGGGGGTGTGGTCAGGCTAATCCACTTGTCTGGACTGCCCAGTGGTCAACAAATGGCCACAGGGGGGCAATGGGTCAGTTTGTAACAAACATATACACACTTTTGTTTGATATAATTGAACCAATCTAGAAAGAAGTGTGCCAACATGGCCAATCAACATGTCTTTTTCTACAGGAAGTCAAATATCTAGATTTATCTTGAAATCAAATTTAGTCAATTTTTGCAGGTGATTTTCCCCCTTTATTTTATATGTAGTCTTAATTATTTCAACTATAATTTTTTTTGAGTGCAAAGATTTTTATTTTATACAGTTTTGCATAAATCTGATTTAAAACATCCAGAAGAAAGGCTGAATTTCAGGCTGACATATTGGTCTATACATGATCTGGTAGACCATTAAAATTCATATTTGAATTTAAGTAAACAAATATGATGGCATACTCAAATGTTTTCATTATACTCACAAACATCAATTAAAATAAAAGATTTTTTTCCTAAAATATTCATACCCTCCTACAATATGTATCAATTCTGTAAATTTTCAATTTTACTGCCAAAATTTGAAAACACTTAATTCTATGGTTTTTTCAGGGATGTATAATACAGATTACATGTCCCTGGTTTTTTTGATAATATTATAAAACTGTTTTTTTTTCTTCTCTCTCTCTTTCTTTTTTTTTTTTTTACTTATTTTCAGAGTTTAAAATTGTTGATTTAAAGTGAAGCAATCCTTCAATCGTTTTTTATTTATTTGTAGAAAAATCAGCAACATATTTTACCTCGGTACAAACACCATGTACAATTAAATACAGGCCTTATCAGATACAGACATGTACTGAAGCAGACCTAATGAGATTGACCTGTCCGGCTCGGCCAGGTGTGAAAATGACCACCTCAAGTACGAATCCCACAAGTTGAGTCAAAGCGACCAGTGAAAATAGGGTAGAGTACCTAACTTACCTGTAAACCCAGGTGTGAAATCTTTCACCACAGGTATCATAATACACCTGTACCTAACTCCAGACATTACCTGTACAATTAATTACAGGTAATTATCAACAAGATCAAAGATAGGACACAAATCAGAACAGGAAAAAGTCCAGACAGTAGATCACAAGTCTTGAAAATATTTCTAACCTCAGACCAAGATTTTGGTTCCAGTACCAATGGATTAAGACACCATGATAATTAATTAGAAACATCAAAGAGGTTCAGGTGAAAATTAAATAAATCTGTTTTATCAAGACACATCCATACTGAGCCAGTCTGGACCTTGACTTAATCCAATTACATTAGCAGAAATTAGGTTGATCAGCTGATGTCGTTACACAAGAGTACAGCTGTTTGGATGTGAGTACTAACACCAATCGTCTGGAGGAGTCAAAACCAGAAGTCATCAATTAATTATAAAACAAACATGGCCACTGATCCAATATATGAAATAAATGCCAACTACAACAACATCCTCTTCTCCTAGATTTGATCTGTATTGCCACATAAACATTTGATCTATATTGCCAAATAAACATCCTTTATACTAAATAAACACAGACAATCCTTTTGAGTTGTAATTCCGGATTATTACTCAAGCCTGTTCTAAAAGCATGCCAAAATAACACAAACATTGAAATCAATGTGTGTGATGTTCATTTTCTCATGAATTCAAGTAAAATTCATCACATTTAGTTTCTCTAGGTAGTAAAGCATATTAAGTATGTGTTAAAAATAGATATAAAGGATTTCATTAATTAACACAAATTAATAGATATTTGAATTATACATCTGTTTAGTCACTAAATAATCGTTCTAAATATTTGTCTCTTTGTCACTAAATAATCATTCTAAATATTTGTCTCTTTGTCACTAAATAATCGTTCTAAATATTTGTCTCTTTGTCACTAAATAATCGTTCTAAATATTTATCTCTTTGTCACTAAATAATCGTTCTAAATATTTGTCTCTTTGTCACTAAATAATCGTTCTAAATATTTGTCTCTTTGTCACTAAATAATCGTTCTAAATATTTGTCTCTTTGTCACTAAATGTTTCTATAAGAACTGGAAGGACATTCAAACTTTAAATTATGTAAAAATATTTTCATGGCCACTGTTTGAAAAAGAAATTTTCGAAATAAATGAATTTAAACATAAATTGTTTAAAAAGAATGAAAATTGAATTTTGTTAATTACCATAGTTACTGTTTATATTTAAACAAAATATTCATATATAGAATATTCATAATTTGTGTCATTATTTTTCAAATGAACAAAATTATGTTAACAGGCTTCAATCAGTTATTTCTGATGACTAATATCCATCACATAGAATTCCTCCAACTAAAATTTTCCAAAATTCTATTATTTCTAAAACAGCAAGATTTTATAAATAGGATCAGTTATTTCTGATATGTTTTACATCTTCTTTATTTTTTTCTTAATTTTCTAAAAACTTAGGAATAAATTGTAGATATCAACTGTCACCAGAACGACTCAATGTGTCAGTGTTTGTAGTTTAAACATTTCCAATCGACACTTCATTATTGTCAAGGATTTAACCCTTCACAATCTAACTGTCCAAACCTTTAAATACAAACAAAGTAATTTTTCAGTAAACATTTTTCTACATTAATAAAATGCAGATTTGTGTAAGAAGATCACTATTTTAACACCTTTCATGTTATCCTCACACAATTCAGGTTTAATTCTAAACATATTCAACATTCAAATTTACTGTTAATCAGACACAGCGTGTGACTGGAATGAAACAGAACCAAGTCGTTACACAGAAAACATCAAGATTTAAATCGCAAATCTCCCAAATCCAGGTAATTCCTCCTTGTTTGTTTAAAGACTTTTATAAAAAGTATTTGTTTACATCTATAGCTGTAAGCCTACAATTCCTTATATTGTTTGTTAGAGACAGGTTCTGTGGGTAAAACCTGTCTTTAACCCACACTGTTTAACAGGATTTCCCCCTCTTGTCTGAGATTAATCACCAGAGTCATGTTGGGGTTTTACCATAACACCTTAACATTGTTGGATTACAACTGTTGAAGATACTAAGCATGTTTTGGAATACAAAAAATCAAGAAAAACAAGTTTTTGGGTAAATACGATATCAATTTCGCTGTCTAATAATAAGCTGAGGTATGAAAGACGACTATGTTAATTATCCCTTACCTGTCATCATGTAATCTCGGTCAAGTCTTACAACATAGCTCTAATCTGTGTTCATAAGAAATGATAAAATTCACCTGCACCAAGACATTCTTTCCTCAGAACTATGGATACTAAATTGTCAGGTATTCAACTGTTTGTCTTGTCATAGGGTTAGAATTTTAACAGATAAAGCCATGATTCAACCAAAAATAACACATTTTGTCCCAAATATTTGATTTATGAAAACAAGACATATTTGATCAAACTTTATCAGGATTATATAATTTTACTTTGTTCTGATATTGTTTAATAATCAACACTGCCCTATCCTATATCTTTGTTATTACAACTATTAGTATATACCCCATTATCCAGTGTTGGTACCACCTAAGAAGCATACCTACAGTGAACCGGTGTTGGCTCTATTTAATAATTAACTGATACTATATTTTTTAATATGCGACAGAGCATAACTTATCAATCTTTAAAATCATTTTGTGTGTGTCATTGGTAAAGGGATAAAGAGATATATTTGTGTCTGTAAGAGTTTTGTGTGTGTCAATTATATGTGACATACTTTTGTATATTTGTGTCTGTAACAGTCTAGTTTTGTGTGTGTCATTGGTAAAGGGATAAAGAGATATATTTGTGTCTGTAACAGTCTAATTTTGTGACATACTTTTGTAATCAGAGGCTTTTCCCCCCAAGATCTTGCTCCAGAAACTGATCTCAATCAGAATACCCGTCCACACAACAGGCCCAGTCCAGACACAACAGACCCAGTCCAGACACAATAGACCCAGTCCAGACTCACAATACATCAGAGCTTTATTTATCTGACCCAGTTTTAAGGTTGTTTTTATTTACTGACAATGATTTATCTGACCCAGTTTTAAGCATCAGTTGTTTTTATTTACTTACAGTGTCTATATATAGTTTTGTATCTTTTCCATACACTTACTGCTAGAGACTTTACAGACAATACATCTATGTCAGTAGTATAGCTGACAACAAATATAATATATATATATATATATAATATATATATATCAATATAAATAATTTTGTTTTGAAAGAAATATTTACTCTTAGAACAACAAAAATCCAAAACCACATTATTTCATTTTTGTTTCAAGTGATTTAATTCCTGTGGTGTTTGATGTTACATCACAACCTGTTTACTATGACATTAGCTTGGCCTGTCACCTCCCATTATCACAACAATGTTGGGAAGGGTGATGGCACCAGCTTTGGTCAAGCAGTCACATAGGGAGGAGTGACCACAAGAGGATAAGGTTTAAAAGTTATACATGCCAAGAACTTGGAAAAAATACAGTGTGCACTGCAGAAATATTCAACCACAGCCAAATAAGGACAATGTTACCATGACAACACTTATAAGTACAGATATGCATCTAGATTACAGGTATCTTTCATTTCCTTTTTCTTTCTAGGGATAAAACTTAAAAGAACAAGCTGGTTTGATTAAATCTCATTTTTGACTGCCACTGAAAGACACTGGAAAAACACTTTTAACAATGACTTATATTTAAACACTCATGTGTAAAACTTAACATTAATGTTTCTTTTTATACAGAGATATCTTAACTCTATCACTTTAATTGCTCTTCTGAAATTATTTTTTGCAATATTTCTAAAACATCAAGTTTATTCAACATAATTTTCTGAAATGTGACATAACCTTGACCTTTCTTACAGATCTGTTATGACCTTGACCTAAAACCCTTGACCTTTCCTATAGAACAGTGTATGATGACCTTAACCTTACCTTGCAGATCTGTTGGAACAAGTTACTTGGAAGCTTCATGTTTCTTGTCAAGATGTCGAAACTTGGTAATGTAAACTGTTACACTGGTATATGGCTTTCCCACTTTACACTGGAGTCAGTGTAAACTGGCTTTAATTATTGGTGTACAACACTGATGTAAATATAGTGTAAAAGTCCATTTCCATTTTCAAAAGTCGTGTGTAAATATTCAATTTACATAAAATTGAACAAAACATAAATTCAAGGAAATTCATCGGTTTAATTGGGATATGTAATGTGACACATCAAAGTGCTCTGCAAAATCTGTCTGTGATGTCATCACATCTATAAATAGATTATTTCTTTCAAAAAGTTGCAGTTTCCTTAAATATTCTACCGAAAAAATTCAATAAATTCACACACGTAAAAAAAAATCTCCACAAGAAATTGTCAGTACTTATTTGCTATCACAAGGGGTGATACAGAATTAGTTACGCGTTACTAAGTCCTTTATCAATGTTAAGCGAAATCTTGGTCAGTTATGTTGGTATTCCCACAGTGATAACTCAGTTCCTTAACAGGTATGTTGGTGACTTCATCAACTCCTCTTGGATGGAGAGACAGTTTACTGATGTTAAGGAGAAAGACATATATCCTTCTCAAAATGGAGAGAAAGAGAGTGATTCTTTCTCAATCCAATGAAATGCTGACTGAAAAAAATATTCTCCTTTGTCACTTGAATTAAAAATCTTAAGTCTCCTTTTTCTTGTGACACTATTTCACAAAAAAATCTGACAGTTTGTGACAGAAGGAAAATGTCTTCCTTTCTATTGCGATGTTATTTCACAAAAAAAACTGACAGTTTGTGACAGAAGGAAAATTTCTTCCTTTCTATTTCTTCTTAAGAATGGAAAGAAAAATTTAAATCCCCGTTTTCTGTGATTTCTTTCCTTCTCCTGAGTTAGAGAGGATCTTCAGTCAGTCTATCTCTCCACCATCCGAAACACACACAGCCCTCTCCTCCTCTCAGTGGTTGCTACAGCTCTGAGACAGAGTGGTGCAGGGCTGTGTGGTATATTGCAGACAGCAATATGTAAAACATAGACTGGACCATCCGAACAACTGCGACTGGATTTAGGACATAATCAATAAAATAGTGCCAGGTAAAACATGATCAGGTCATATATTTTCACAAGTTTTGGCAATAAAAGGAGAAAGGACATATTTGACACCTTGTTGGTTAATGATAATCAACGTGTCTGTCGTGTATCTGACGAACACAGGGAAGGCCAACCTTGAGTGTATGCCATACGGACACAAACCACCATAACAAAGTTGAACAGCATCCAAAAAGAATGACATTCCAGAGAAATTCCCAAGGACAGTTATAAATAGAACAATCAGAACCAATCAGGATGGAGAAATCAGAGCAATCCCCATTGTTAATCAAACAATGAACCAATCAAATCCCAGTATTTTGAGTAGGCCCTTTGTGAAGGTTTGACAGGATGTGTCCCACAGAAATAGGATGACCATCAACACTGACCTGTGGTCAAATATTTGGTGGTCCCTGAACAATGATGGGACAAAGATGAGCTCAGCAGGAGGACTTGGAAGTGTAAAACAGATCAGAGTGATGCTGTGGTAGGGGATGCATACCTAAACTGTTATCAACTGTCCTGGGCTCCCTAGGGGCCACAATTCTGGGGACAAACCATTTAATAAAGTCCGAACTCAATATAGCCCCTATAACCCTTTCCAAGTTGTGTGAATGAGATATCTTATTTCATGTGAAACACATTAACTTTGTCACAATAACTGAATAATTTCACAACACACAAAGTGCCACTGTAAAGCAGGTCACCAAAGAAAATGGCTCTGAATCAAGTCAATTATGGAGTTTGTGGAAAATTCTGGCCAATAGCCAGGGCACGTTTATCCTTTCTTTAAAACAAGACACTTAGTAGGTTGTACACTGAGGGAAAATACATGTGGCAAAGTTCCATGAAGTGAAGGACTGAATAACAGGTAAAAATGTCTTCTTTATCACATTTAAACGGTGACTTAATGATCAATTATTGGCAACAAGGCCACGACAAAACTTAGTTTTCATGAAGAAACGACCCTAAATTTCTTGTAAACTGTTTTGGAGATCTGACACCATTTGCCACTGCCACGAAAACTGGGTCAGTTTTTCAATAAATACTATATTTAGTATGACTTTTGATCAAGTAAAACTAACACCAAAAATATAATTGACATCAAAATTGTAACTCATTAACATTTAGCGGTAAAGTAGTGTATGACGAGTAACCATACCTAGCCCACTCACAGGTAAGTATATACCTGTACTATCATCCTGTCTCACCTGTACTATCATCCTGTCTCACCTGTACCAATCATCCTGTCTCACCTGTACTATCATCCTGTCTCACCTGTACTATCATCCTGTCTCACCTGTACCAATCATCCTGTCTCACCTGTACTAGCATCCTGTCTCACCTGTACTAATCCTCCTGTCTCATCTGTACTAATCCTCCTGTCTCACCTGTACTATCATCCTGTCTCACCTGTACTATCATCCTGTCTCACCTGTACTATCACCCTGTCTCACCTGTACTATCATCCTGTCTCACCTGTACTAATCATCCTGTCTCACCAGTACTGTCATCCTGTCTCACCTGTACTATCATCCTGTCTCACCTGTACTGTCATCCTGTCCACCTGTACTAATCATCCTGTCTCACCTGTAGTATCATCCTGTCTCACCTGTACTATCATCCTGTCTCACCTGTTCTATCAACCTGTCTCACCTGTACTAATCATCCTGTCTCACCTGTACTAATCATCCTGTCTCACCTGTACTATCATCCTGTCTCACCTGTACATTATGTTATGGCATCCTACCATATATATACATGGGTGATATAACCGCATTTATTTCTTATTCTTTGACTTTGTCGTTGTTTTAAAACATTTACATGACACAGATACCAGGAGCCCTTTTCCCCTCTGTACACAGACACTGTGCATATTTAAAACATTTACATGACACAGATGCTTAGACCGTTTTTACCCTCTGTACACAGACACTGTCCATATTTAAAACATTTACATGATACAGATGCTAAGACCCTTTTTACCCTCTGTACACAGACACTGTCCATATTTAAAACATTTACATGACACAGATGCTAAGACCCTTTTTACCCTCTGTACACAGACACTGTCAATATTTAAAACATTTATATGACACAGATGCCAGGAGCCCTGTAATGCTCCATAGATATACACTATCAGTGTTTTAAAAATATGAACATGACACAGATACCTGGGAAGTCAGGTTGTAACCCAGCATTCTCTCTGGTATGTTAAGAGGTTGTATATCTGTGTACTCATCAATACATCATACATACTAATACTTTACAATTCCTCACCTACAACTTTGTTTTATGCTTCATACTGTAACTTTTTAACGTATCTTCTTCTCTTCCGGTCTTCTTTTTTCCACTTTGACATAGGTGATATAAAAATGCTTACAATAATACATCTAATAACATTAAAATAAAAATACATTATGAACTAATGTATTGATAGAATACACCCTTAACTCTGACTTCAGTCAGTAGCATACACCCTTAACTCTGACTTCAGTCAGTAGCATACACCCTTAACTCTGACTTCAGTCAGTAGCATACACCCTTAACTCTGACTTCAGTCAGTAGCATACACCCTTAACTCTGACTTCAGTCAGTAGCATACACCCTTAACTCTGACTTCAGTCAGTAGCATACACCCTTAACTCTGACTTCAGTCAGTAGCATACACCCTTAACTCTGACTTCAGTCAGTAGCATACACCCTTAACTCTGACTTCAGTCAGTAGCATACACCCTTAACGCTGACTTAAGTCAGTAGCATACACCCTAAACTCTGACTATGGTCAGTAGAATACACCCTTAACTCTGACTTCAGTCAGTAGCATGCACCCTTAACGCTGACTTAAGTCAGTAGCTTGCACCCTTAACTCTGACTTCAGTCAGTAGCATACACCCTTAACTCTGACTATGGTCAGTAGAATACACCCTTAACTCTGACTTCAGTCAGTAGCTTGCACCCTTAACTCTGACTATAGTCAGTAGCATACACCCTTAACTCTGACTTCAGTCAGTAGCATACACCCTTAACTCTGACTTCAGTCAGTAGCATACACCCTTAACTCTGACTATAGTCAGTAGCTTGCACCCTTAACTCTGACTATAGTCAGTAGCATACACCCTTAACTCTGACTATAGTCAGTAGCATACACCCTTAACTCTGACTATAGTCAGTAGCATTAACTCTGACTATAGTCAGTAGCATACACCCTTAACTCTGACTATAGTCAGTAGCATACACCCTTAACTCTGACTATAGTCAGTAGCATACACCCTTAACTCTGACTATAGTCAGTAGCTTGCACCCTTAACTCTGACTATAGTCAGTAGCATACACCCTTAACTCTGACTATAGTCAGTAGCATACACCCTTAACTCTGACTTCAGTCAGTAGCATACACCCTTAACTCTGACTTCAGTCAGTAGCATACACCCTTAACTCTGACTTCAGTTAGTAGCATACACCCTTAACGCTGACTTCAGTCAGTAGCATTCACCCTTAACTCTGACTTCAGTCAGTAGCTTGCACCCTTAACTCTGACTATAGTCAGTAGCATACACCCTTAACTCTGACTTCAGTCAGTAGCTTGCACCCTTAACTCTGACTTCAGTCAGTAGCATACACCCTTAACTCTGACTTCAGTCAGTAGCATACACCCTTAACTCTGACTTCAGTCAGTAGCATACACCCTTAACTCTGACTATGGTCAGTAGCATACACCCTTAACTCTGACTTCAGTCAGTAGCATACACCCTTAACTCTGACTTCAGTCAGTAGCATACACCCTTAACTCTGACTATGGTCAGTAGCATACACCCTTAACTCTGACTATAGTCAGTAGCATACACCCTTAACTCTGACTATAGTCAGTAGCTTGCACCCTTAACTCTGACTTCAGTCAGTAGCATACACCCTCAACTCTGACTTCAGTCAGTAGAATACACCCTTAACTCTGACTTCAGTCAGTAGCATACACCCTTAACTCTGACTTCAGTCAGTAGCATACACCCTTAACTCTGACTTCAGTCAGTAACTCTGACTTCAGTCAGTAGCTTGCACCCTTAACTCTGACTATAGTCAGTAGCATACACCCTTAACTCTGACTATGGTCAGTAGCATACACCCTTTACTCTGACTTCAGTCAATAGCATACACCCTCAACTCTGACTATGGTCAGTAGCATACACCCTTAAGTCTGACTATGGTCAGTAGCATACACCCTTAACTCTGACTATGGTCAGTAGCATACACCCTTAACTCTGACTATGGTCAGTAGCTTGCACCCTTAACTCTGACTATAGTCAGTAGCTTGCACCCTTAACTCTGACTATAGTCAGTAGCTTGTACCCTTAACTCTGACTATAGTCAGTAGCTTGCACCCTTAACTTGATCTGTTGTTAGCATACATCCTTAACTCTGACTGATCAGATATGACACTGTTCAATCAGTTATTCAATCATATGAACACAATAGTCTAGAAAGTCTGGGTATCAAATTTTCAACTGATGGGTTATATGTTATACAATAAAATAACACTGATTAAAAATTTCCTTCTTTTTTAAAAAAAAATGAACTGATATTTTGGTCTTGATTTCTAAATATTATTACACTCAGCTTGTAAGCATTTCAGAGTAGATGTATAAAGACACATTATAATAACCTTGTCCTGTGCACTGTATAGCTTTATGACCTCTGACCTTTACATACATGATATCTTATCTGTTTACCTGGGTGTGTATAATGAAAAGCAGACATTAATACCACTTCAGTGTAATGTAAGTCACACATAATTATATAGTGATAAATGTGACAGATAAACTCTATAGAGACACTGACTTAGGTTCTTTACTCCAAATGTTAACCAACCTGGTTTTGT